CCCCCCCCCCCCCCCCCCCCCCCCCCCCCCCCCCAATTAGACATTAGATTGTATTGTTACCTCTGGTATTTTTTAATTATTTTCCAGGTATTTTATCTCAATTGAAAGTTGCCTGTCTTGAAGGAGAGAAAAAAGAATCCCGAGCAAAATATACAGAACATTTAGCTCTTTATACAGCAGGATTATTGGGTATACCTCTTGAAAAACTACATGTAAGTATTAACGAGATTGTCATGAGGTTTTCTAGGGACACTGATATCATCAAATTGCACCATTTCAATTTTTAATCAGATGTCTGTGGTTCCTGCAATTTCAATAAAAGTGCTGGATTATCCTGTAACTTCACAGCACTGTGTTTATTTTACTATTTCTCAATGAAATATTTCCTTAAATTATCTATAATTGATATACTTCCGCATATGAAAAGTTTATTAGCTGCTACCAATGTATTGCCAATATGTTGTTTTGGATTTTGGGTTTGGTTTTGCCGTTTGGATCATTACTACTTAAGTTATTTTGATTTCAGATATTTTTTGAAGGAGTACAGGCTAGGATTGCTACTGGAGTAAAACCTGAAGAAGTTGGGTATCAATTAGCCTTCAGTAAACAAGAACTACGTAAAGTTATCAAAGATTATCCTGCTAAAGAGGTAGCCAAATTCTTTTTCGATTATTCATTATTATAAAATACACACATAAAATACACACATAAAATACACACATAAAATACACATATAAAATACATAAAATACACACATAAAATACACACATAAAATACATAAAATACACACATAAAATAAATACATAAAATACACACATAAAATACACACATAAAATACATAAAATACACACATAAAATACACACACCCCCCTTTGTGTAGCAACTGTTGAAGACACTTAACTTTCATTAATTTTATATTTTTTTTAGGTGAAGAAGATTTTAGATCATATGTATAAAAAGGTAGAAAAACAACTGAGTGAAGAAGAAAACCTCTTACAGGTATCTTACTTTATTTCTTTCCTATTGATCTATCATTGAAGGAGTTGTACATGTTTTTTAAACAGAATTCACCAAATCAATCTTATTTTTCAAACTTTTTCTAGAGGAACAACCCCCTCAGACACTCCATGGGAAGCTTTCATAATTGAAATCCCAATCTCCTCCAGGCCTTCACCCCATTAGAACAGTCTGTTCCTATTGGTACCCCCAATTACTGGAGACTAGCACACAACCTCCTATAAGGGTGTCAACTAAGATCACAAAATGTACGACAAGAAAATGAAACCTGGAATACCCCAAAAAATATATTGGTAATACATTAGTATATACATATGAGGAAGTATATCAAGCATAAATGAGTAATTCGATTTACAATTTTCTTAAAATGGATCAGATAAATAGGAAATTAAGTTTCCACTGTCCAACATGAGTGAATAACTGTATGATTTTAAGAATTTCCTATTTATTTTCAGGTTGTTTGGAGAGAAATGCAGAATTTATTTATTAATCAATATAAACATTACGATGATTTGATGAAGAAATGTTATCCAGACTCGCAGATATCATTAGATTTCTCTATAGAGGATGTATTACAATACTTCTCAGACATCGCCCAGTCACACTAGACTCAATTAACCAGCACCTAGTTACATAAGTAATATAGTTCTAACATCGTGACCCAGGCTTCAGTTTCTCATGAGAATTCTAATCTCAAATCACCCAAACAATCAGTCTAATTAGATTAGACCAAAGTTTCAGTCCTACTTTGTTGCTGGTAAGAAATTTGTTAGGCTTACAGTGCCATCAAACAGATAAATGTCACAGAGCAGTCTTTAGACCCCAAATGAAGTGGCTGCAATAAAAATAAAGCTAACAAAACAGAACTTAAGGCTTTGTATATTCAAGTGAAAATAAATGTTATATCATATTTATTACGTCTGTTTGTATGAATTGATAAGCTGGTATTATAAGACGATTAAAGGTGGTAGCGCACTATTCATACATGCGCATTATATTTGCAATTATACAATTATCAGACGTCCTAGAATAATATATATTTTCAAGCGATACAAAAGAAAAATGATGCTTGAAACTCTAATATAAATCATTCTTTCGCCGTCTTACTGGAACCTTTGTCCATAAATACATGACCTTGAAGCAGCAACGTGCACAAAGTGAATCATTCTCATATTAATGTGCTAGTCGTTTGTTCTTCATACACCCACTAAAGAAAAAGTCTCCCCTCTTGAAAAGAACGAAAGGAAGGAAGGAAGTGGGAAAGTACGGTGGAATATACTTATTTCTGATTGATATACTTCCTCAAATGAAAAGTTCATTAGCTGCTACCAATATATTGTTTTGGATTTCGAGTTTGGTTTTGCGGTTTGCATCGTTAGTACATGGTTTATTTAAGAAATCGTTGATGATGGACAAAATATAACAGAATAAGTCAATCTGCGAATGGGCTTGTCAACTCCCACATGGAAGGCGATGGTATATCTAGATCTAATAATTGTGTCAATTTTTACCGGAATTGCACATTGGTTATGATTTACAACAGGTCTATTCTAAAAAAGGGCAGGTGTCTCCTTTAAGAGAACATGTCTATATTCATGTATTGATAACGTATTATATGGTCTGTATAACTTGAACAGACAATTTTCAGTATCTTACATATATTATAGTTTTATTATATGTTTAGGAAAGCGTAGGTTGAAAAACCAACATTGAATCATTTTATTCACTAGGTAATAAAATAGTGATGGACTAAAGACTAGACTAGCGGCACGACTTTCTAACATTTCTCATGCTCTATGACATACATGAATTAGGCCTATGAGAAGACGATGCAATAAGTCGCGAATAGACGATGTCCAGTGCCGAACTCACGACCTACGGTCTGGACACGATTCACATCTACTATTTTCTACTGTATCGATAATCACGCAAAGGACATAGTTTATTTCACTTATAATCTTCATGTTTCTGCTGTTCGAGCAAGACAAATGAAATGTAATGAATGGAGTTTTACGTCCTAATTTTCTGCACCATTTAAGTTAATGAAAACGGTTGAGCAAAGAGACGTTATACAACGTTTCAAATTAAAAGTGCACAGAAAGCTGGATGTGGCAAATATTGTATAAAGACAAAGACAGGGTACAATACCACCGATTATCAACATGAATTTTGGAAACAGTAGGTATTAGGAAAGGTAATTATGCCTGGGCGTCTGACCAAAGTCTGGTGGCATGCTTCTCTTAGAAATAGTCGTTCAGTCTAATAGTTTTAGACAATTGGTAACAGACAGTAGATCCAAATACTCGACTGGTCGTGGAAGGGACAACCGCCAATGTTAAGTCTATAGGTACAGGTGAAGGGTCTTCATTAGATAAGGTAATGACCGAGCAGGTGTTTAGATTTATGGGGTGTTATTATCAAGGACAAATGGACCTCGTTGTACAACAACCACGATAAAAATCAAATTTTGTCTTTTACCGATATAGATAAGAGGGTTTTAGTCACCAATGGGAAATAGAAGTGGTCAAACAGGTGTCCAGTTAACCATCTTATCTCCCACGGTAAATTAGACTTTCAAAGTCCTTTCTACAAGCTGGTCCCTCTCCACGCTTCATGCATAGATCTTTCACGGATTATCCGTAGGCCAGTAATAATCGTACACAGAAAATTGTCTTAAGATTTGATAGAAAATACGCCAAAGTTCTCAGATTGTTATCAGGCAGACACAGAGGTTATTTAAGTATATTCTGTATCTCTTGGGTTGCTCATCGTCTACAGAATAATTGGGTATAACCATCATTAAGATATTATCACAACATATTTCACCGATGATATATATATGACCACACTGACGCTTCAAACAACCTGTATCCTCGACTATCATAGTAAACTATTGAGGCATGACATTCTTGGTTTCCCTGTAATCTCAAATATATTTTAATTGATAAAATTACCGTGAAAATATATCTTTAAAGGGATTGTAAAGAGGTTTTTAAAAGAAAAACTTGTGAAACGGGGACACTGGTAGCTTGGCGATTATTGACGTCATCAACTACCAAGTTTTAGTGGGATTGCAGGAACCTCAGATATCTGATTGTAAATTGGAATGGTACAAATTGATGCTATCAGTGTCCCTGATACACATAAAAAATTTGAAAACCTCTTTACAATCCCTTTAATTACTTGATAATTGTTAAATAATTGAATTTATCGACAAGACTGGTAAACAATTTATATTCGTGGCGGCATCATATTGGTCGAGCCTTCGCCTCCGGTTACGAGAGCCGCCATAGTTTATTTGCGGTAGATGTAAGGTGCCACATTTACGATGTAAACAATAGGGGTGATCAAGTACAACCGACATCCCCGAAGGATACCGACCTCAAATAATTAATGTATTTTCATGAAAGTATTATGATGTCATTATAACACATGGTAAAAATATTTAGACTAAGTCCAAGTCAAGTGTAAATACATATTCATAATTCGTAATATCTTGTATAGGAATTTCTAACAACTGTAAAATAAATTAATTTGTAAATTATCGAAGCTTTAACTTAAGGACAGGCTACACCTGTAATGACAATTCTGCACCTGGATAAAAGGAATGAATGAATTTTTGATGAACAAAATCATAAGCGTTTCGCATCAGTCATTTTTATAATTTCAAATCTAACACTAGTTAAATAATATATTAATCCATCAAAGTGCATTAAAAAATACTTCGGGTTCGCCCTTTTTAAATTTCAAATTTTAAATACTTTAACAGGTGTTAATTAAAAAACATCATTATTAAGAGAGAATAAAACAAAATCATCCAGGTATATCATTGGTTCTTTGATAAAATGAAACAAATTTTTAATTTAATTTTCCAATTTAAATAGAGAACGCCCAAGATGAACTCAAAATGCTCAGTGTTCATATTGTTTCGAATTGCCACAGACGACAAACTGAAAATTGAAAAGGTGCAAATCTAAAGCTATCAACTTCTCCGATGCGCATAAATTGAACAAGTTTAGAAAACCGTTTTACAATCCCTTCAAAACACACACATCTCTTAATCATACATTACAACAGTAGCCTAAATCTCGTAATTTGGGAGTTCCTGAAAGGCAACAAGGACACGCATTTATTATCTGTTCACTGTCATTGGCGTTTCTACAGGGGAAAAAAGAGGCTGGCTCGGCATTACATATTAATTTGAAAGAATAGCCTGTTGCCCCTGGAAAATTTTGTGACCCTTGCTCGTCCTCCTCAACTAATGTTCCCTAGGAAAGCCACTGTTCACTACCTATATATCACACCAATGCTGACTATATTTCTGACTGGGTCGGCCGTCGAGCAACCAATCTGCGAACCGACCGTGTGCATATTATGTTCTGTTCTACACCCATAGCGCTGTCTGAACCGTGTCGGCACCACCTTGAAACCATTTTGACAACCATTGTTGGTTCTTCAGAGCCTCCAACGACGATCTGAAATATTATGGTTGCAAGCAAATGAAATAAAAGATAGGCCCTATTCAATAAGACCAACTCGCGTAGACCTACATTAGAAAACAAACATGTCATGTTAGAGGAAGATTCGGCTAATTTTATAGGAAGGAACCAGTAGGCCTATCTAGCTTTTTTCAAAATACTTAATAGGTCTAGATTATGGGTAGGCGTATGACAGTAGTATTCAAAGCCATGGAAAATAATTATAATCCTACGCACATCAGAATCAAACTATAGCCTATTGGACTATAGGCCTAAGGCCACCCAATTTTAGGTCTGCAGAAGTTTTCTTTAACATATGGACACAATTTAAGTCATTGTTCCATTCATGCACAAGTTAATGTGAATTCATCTACAAGGTGCTAAACCGGAAACAAGACAGTAGGCAATCCTGTACCAAAAATAACTCGTCTTGCACCACGAGAAGGTTAATATTAATTCCACACACGGGGACAATTGTATAAATAATTCTAAAATAAACAAAATATACTTATACTGAATAAAATTCTTCTGTTTAACAAACATAATTAGTTCATTCAGTCTTTAACCTACTGTGGTTTTCACCGGATACGTCAGGCCGTGAGAGAATAGTAACTAAATATTTCTGCATATCATTTTCCCGCTTAAAAGACCAAAGGGCGGTCACTCCGTCTTCTTAAGGTGCGTTTGATAACTCGGTTACGATGGGTATGTTTCGGAGGAATCTATCGTACTCAGGAATAAGTCTTAAGAAGAAACGGAATTGTAGGCCGAGTGAAGTGCATTAGACAATAGAATACTATGGAGATGGTCTCCCTGTCTCACGCCCACTCGAAATTCAACATAAATACACATCTAACATTAAATGACTCACTTTGCGGTTTCTATTTTTTCCGGTTTATGATACAAAAGGACTGAGTCTTATATGATTATAATATTATTTTATTTGACTGTCATTGTGAGAAGTATAGATATATTATGTAAATCTCAAGAGTTAGATTGTATATTAATAAATCGTTTCTGTATTTTAAATTAAAAACAAAAGTGATAGCCTAAATCGAAAGCAAGGTAAGTCAAAATATATTTTTGATTTTGTTTGTCAGCTTTGTTTTTTATTTATATTTTATATTTTAAACATTTCACTATCCTTGAATGATATAATTCGGAAATGAATTAAATGACTATGTAAAATGATGACAGCCTAGGCCTTCTACTACAATGTAAATTTATATACTACGACCGAAGAAAAACTTTGAAGAATATTTCTGTGAATGATTTTGGAATCAGAAGCATCCATTTAAGTTATATTGTGTCAAAAGGCGAAAGAAACAAGCGCCAAGTGGACCACTATTTGTATTGGAACACAGAACTGGTACTTTGGGTTTAACTGATACCGGATTAATCCGTCTGATGGACTGATAGTGGCTGATGTTTACACTTGAACCTTTGCGTTTGATACTATTTAAAATAGAATTTAATAAATGTTGATAGAAATAAATATACAAGCCTTTATAAACCAAAGATCGAGATACCTTCATTATTAGTTTATTACGCTAAGCAATTACTAAGAATTTAAACACTATAAAATAAATACCATGAAGCCCTACCATATTTTAGAATATTTTTCATTTAACATAGTATCTCATTGCACCATGAATAGTGCCCTCTTTAATCCGCAAAGAGACGCTGGGGAGAGATCGTCTCACCGTCAATTAAATCCTCGCTACGCCACTGCCTGCTAGTTATATTTTGATCGATTCTTATATTTTGTCCGCGGCTTGATAATCCACGACAATATTTGAAATATTTTGATTTACAACATTTCATGAGGAAGTCCATTCCATCTTTGAATACAGAATTGAGTCACATATCGTCTAAATTTAACGACAGATTGAAGTTAGTAAATTGTTGATAAGATTCAATGAATCACAAGTAAATGATTATTTTCATTTTCGTACCACCACCATTTGTCAGTAATCATATCTCGGTGAGGCTAATAGATGCGGTCTGACATTTGTCGCCCTCGGTCACATCTCGTGTGCATCATAGAGTTTCAATTATGATGACTGGTGCACATTTAGGTCTGATTTCTCACACCCTCTCTAGCTATCAATATTGAATCATGGTCTCATGTTGTGGTTAGTCACCCCGAAATCTGATGACTCGACAAATTGATTCCAATTTTCTTCTCTTATGGCACTTTATTATCACTATTCCGGAAATTGACAAAGGTAATAGATATCTAATTCTTCGCCCATTCGATCGTAATGCCGAATCTATTGCAGGGCGCTTATGAAATCTTTATAAAGTATATTCAGCCTATAACTTATCAGAATCAATCTTTTATGTCTTATTCGTCTACAATTTATAAAGAAAATAAGGCACACATTGCCATTTCTCGACTGAGTTTGTCTAAGGCGTATGCATACTCCTTTCAGAGAGTTCACAAATAGTAATTATAATGTTTATTATAATATTCTAAGTTCTAAATTTATAATTTAGGGACATTTTATATTTTCAGAATGTGTACCTTTGAAAATTATGGTTGCTACGGTCAACAATTTCCACAACATAGTGATATTCCTAACCTCCGAGAAACAAGAGTTCCAACCTCAGATTTTCAGTTTAATGGCCTCTCGTATTCCGACTATCTTCCGTGTAACGACTCGTCCAAATACCAAGATTTGAACTCTTCAAACTACAATAGTTTCTCTTACCAAAGCTGTTCTGAAACCAACCAGAAAGGCTTGCCACTGAAAAGACCACCGAGCTATGATGAACATATGCAAATGGAAGCCAAAAGGATGCTGTCAACATCGTCTGGTTCACAAGCTGATGACGTAGTTTCCGGTTTGCTCAGTGATGTCATGGAGTGTATTATGCAAGAAAAAATGAAAGACGAAGAACGAAAAGGTATGTATGTTTGGAATGAAGTCTCCAGACTGTAGTCAAAATGCAGTCATGAACTTTCAGCGTCTTGATGGACTTTTCTGACCTTAAGAACTGGGGGTAGAAGTCTAAACATTTTGGAATATCCCCACCCAGAGTTGAACTCTTTGAAATATTCGCATTCCTTTCCTGTTCAAGTTCAATCAATTAACTACCGGATCCAAAACTGAAAATTGTAACCCCTATTCCCCAACCAGCAAACCGGGGACTGTAATTTTCCCAAACGTGTCAACAGCATAAGATGGGGTCCTTTCAATCTAAATGAAGCCAGATTGTGTCTGCCTGGTGAAAAATGAATCCCCCCCACCCCCTCTGGACATCGTTAATAAGACATAACACTAGCCTTGTAGTAATCCACTATATTAGTAAATATTTACCATTGTTTAAAAACACAGGGTGGTCTGAAATATACTGTTGATAAATAGTCTCTCACGATTTTCTTTTGATCCAAATAGACCTCCACGACAAGTTGGTTGCATGTATTTATAATATATATATAGCTATATAAGGAATTAAGTTACGAAAAGACAATTCCAAACTGCTGATTTTAGTTAATCCGAAGCTCACTGATTTGAGTTTGGCTTCCGGTCGTATTTATTGACAGAGGTCCGGCAGTATTGTGCAACCATCGGCAGTTTCCGTAAAGCTGAATAAGAGCGCAAGCAGAACTTTCATGGTAGACCGTTTGAGACGTTAATTGACAACTGAAACACACTAGTTTGTAAAATAAAATAATAAAAATAAATTGTTTTCAGGTAAAAAAGCAGCAGCCGTTCAGCTTCGACGTTTGGCCACACTTCTAGTATCAGGTATGTTAAGATAACTTTTCAACAAAACAATGGCATTGGCTTTACTGTAGGAGCTCAAGGAGAGCTACTATGTAGATTATACTCTATGGTGTGAACGACAAAACCATTCGGCAAGCCTCGGCAGTTTCCGTTAAGCTGAATCTGTACAGAGCGCTTGCAAAACTTTCACGGAATAGCGTTTGCGACGAATGCATTAACTTTGAATTCTTTGAAGGGCATGGGAACTTTATTGTAATGAAATGACCATTTTTCTGTCATTTATTATAACTAATGAATGAATATTTACATTATTATAGGAGGTGGTCAACTTCAGTTGTGGCAATTTCTTCTCGAGCTATTGACAGAGAAAGAGAACGAATGCTGTATCAAGTGGGAAGGGAGCAACGGCGAATTTCGAATGACGGACCCGGAGGAGGTTGCAAGACGTTGGGGAAAGAGACGCAATCGCAAGAATATGACGTACGATAAAGTCAGTCGAGCAATGCGTTACTACTACGATCGACTTATTTTAAACAAAGTGGCCGGAAAACGTTACACTTATAAATTTAACTTTAAAATGCTGCTAAAAATGCAACGCAATTTCGCCGCACCTGTGCCAAAATGTCGAACGGAAACAGAACGCATTGTGATATCTTCAGAACGGTTTCCGTTCGTCGTCAGTAAAATTCCCGATTCAAAATTTTTAAGAGAGTCGTATAGAAATCCAAAGACTGCGATCCAACCGTCTTCATTTACGTCGGGAGTTATGTCGCAAGTGTCGGATGTGAATTCAAACGTACACGTAAACACAGAATATAATAATGCGTTTCAGTATTACAACCACTCTCAGTGCCAAAATATGCCAAACACGCAAGTGCCGGCGTCCTATTCCGACCAATCGTACAACAACTCAACAGTAACGGACGTTTCAGATCTCACTAATGTGACGTCATTTACAAACTTTTTGGGCCAATCACCAGCGACCTGTGCCACATATTCGGATTATTCCGACCAATCAATGACAGCGTTTTCGGATTATTCAGACCAGTTCGAAGCTGAATATGATTTTGATTCAATATAAGAATATCGACCGTTTCTTGTATAAAAGGATATCGTGGGCACCTACCTTTACATGGCCTGGTGTGACTACCGTGACAATTTGCCGCCGGTGTATAAAATGGTTAACGAATTATGTGAGAAGAAAGGGAGTATATTATACTTAAAATCTCGAGTTCAACCTATGACATACTATTTTAGAGCAGGACGAGTAGGCCTATGTATGTGCGTATGGAAAGTTCCAGTGTATTTCAGTATTATCTATTTTAAGTATTTAGCATGTTACTAGCCTAAATACATTTGATATCAGATATCAGATATTTGATATTTTTGGGGTCCCGAAAACTACCAGCCTTTCGCTAGAATTGTATTCCGTCCTTTTCCCCATAAAATATATTGGAATTTGGGCGATGATTTTGTTGCCTATGTCCTACACTAGTTTCCACTAGTAGAAATGATTTCATAAAGAGTTGTTGCCCTTCAATTATTTTACGAAATTGAAAATGTATTTTATTTTTGAATATTTAAGTATATTACAATTATAATATACCCAACAACTCCACATTCTCCTGTCATTTGAAGGATCATGGAGTTGTTTCTTTCAGTCCCTAAATGTCTCTCAATATTCTAAGCAATGCAATAAATCTTTCATGTGCTTATACAGTATATATTTTATTTTATTATACAATTTTTAATGCCATTTTAAATAAAATTCGTATACAAACTATTTAATTCGTCTTTAGTTGGAGCAATGGCGCCTCAAAAGGGGGTGGAGTGGGGGTCTGGGTCTCTGATTGGCTGTATTCGCAAGCGTACAATCCAATCAAATTACTAGATTTACGAACTTCTCTAATACAAGAAAGGTGACTATTGTAGTCAAGGTATAAGACAAAATTCGTTATAGCTTGATATTGTGAAGATGTATAAGACCAAGTTTGTAATAGATTGACATTGTGAAGATGTATAAGATGAAGTTCGTTATAGCTTGATATTGTGAAGATGTATAAGACCAAGTTTGTAATAGCTTGACACTGTGACGATAGTAAAACTAGAGAATGAGAAGCTATATTTCAAACATTGAGAACCAAGATGGCCGACACCTGGTAACCAAGATAAACAAACAGCAAGAACTATAAAACTATGAAATGTCACATACCTTATACAAGAATATCCATATAATGAAATAATATAACTGACATAAACTCTCTTTATATTGAAGAAGATTCGTAATAGCTTGACATTGTGATGAAGACCATCTGACAGTTGCAAAACTAAAGACTGAATAACAAAGTTGTCAAGCCAAAAACACTAATTATCAGAGTTCAGAGTTATAATTAGAGACTCTGATGTTAGCTCAGAGACAAATGAAATGAATGGAGGTTTACGTCCTACACCTTTGAGCTCAGAGACAGAGAAAGATTTAGGAAAGAAATAGAGGCAGTGAAGTGTGACTGGTTGTTTTAATACAGTGACTGGTATTAACTAACTGCATGTACATTCAATTCACCTTTCAACGGAGGTACTCCTCGGGGTGCTGCCAGATACCCATAGGGTAGTACTACTACCCCATCATCCAATACTGGAAACTATTTAAGCCTCATTGGCATTCGACAGCTGATGTTCTTTTAAGGGACTGTAAAGAGATTTTCTTTATGTGTACTTTACACCAAAACTAGTCCAACTTAGGGCATGTTTAAGAGATATTTAGACAACGAAGAATTGACTAAAGCTGCGTTTGATAACGATGTGTATCTCGATACAGAAGATATCGTCTACAATGAAGAATAGGTTATTGATGTCATGGGCTAGGGAAATCTTAACGTCTTTTGGCAATCCTCGGCGGTAGAGGGACTTTCTCCGTTTGTCTTTACTTACTGCCGGTAAATAATGGCTGTCATTAAATACCGTGACTGAATGTTTCGGTCAGTTTATTTATTTGCAAACCTGAAAGTCCTAGGCCTAGATTAAAAAGTTACAGACTATATTTAGACAATTTTTATTTCTATATATAATATTTTAATATTTAGCAATCTACATGAATATATTTACAGATGAAGGAAACAAAATAAATAAATTGAAAAAAAAAAACGAGATTAGATGACGATACAGACTGATACACTAAATGAATTGATTAGAAACAGAAGGAAAAGATACTTGTTCTTTAATGGGATATCAGCCACGAATTTTTGGCTGAAATGAAACAATCCAATTCAAGAAGGTCACCAATGGCACTTATCAAAACAAAATTACACCATGTTTGTCTTCAATTTAATAAGCTACAACCATTATGGCAGATTTCTAACTTAAAATGTGATAAAGGTATCATGTCCAAAAATTTGATTGATTTATTTCAGCTCAAAATTGCAGGAAAATATCCCTTAAAGAAAAATAGAAAAAAAGGAAGATAGCACCATTAAGACAAACAAAACAACAAAAATATAAACAAAATAAAATAGCAAATGAGAAATTATAAACATGATTATCTGAATGAGATTTCCTATAAACAAATATGCCACAACCAAAATTACTATATAAAATTAGCATAAATTTGCATATGCATAGCATAATTTTAATTAATGTACATAATTAACTTCATTTACATAATTGATACATATTAAAAATTGAAATGCCCTGACAAACAGCTAAGCCCCTAATGATCAATATAAACACTAAAATACTCATTAAAAACACAATTTCAGTCATTTTTATAGGTACTAATAAAATAATTTATATTTGAATAATTTTCAAATTGTATTTGCATTTTTTTTTGTATCTGCATTTTTCAAATTTGGCTGTCTACTTTAAAATTCTAAAATCAAGCTAAAATGATGATTTTAAAAGTTAAAATATATGTATCTTCTATATTTACACTCCAGTTTGCATAAAATGATTCAAAATTCCCAGAGGCTTTCGTTTTTTCATCTGAAATGAAAAAAAAAATAATATTCAAATTTAGAATTCAGAGATTAAAATTACATTCAAAAGAAATTTGTGTTGTACTTTGGAAAGTACTGGTTGAGAAATAAAAAGTTTTCCTCCTTTGAAGGGTGATTCTAACCCAAGGCACATAAACAAATCAGACTGTCCCTTTAAGGTGCTGATAAAATCAAATGTGCAAAAAAAAACCCGAAAAATTACAACCTTTAAGAGAAGAATTTACAGAGAAAAACATTCAGGCAATCTTTTCCAAAAACCAACTGATATAGCAAATGATCTGAGAGAACATCTAGAAATCAAATTATATATTAAAAGTGCCAGAGTGTCAGTGTAGTTGTCTATAACATTGATAAGTGCAGGTAGTATATAGAAAGTGGTCAATTGATTTTAGACATTAAGCATGTGTTTTGATAAAGTATATCAGATGTTTTTAGATGTGTGGAATCTTTAACTCAAAATGTTTATTAGAATAGGAACAGCTTTTAAAAATTTCTTAGAAATATTACCAAAGATTTTTGTTTTGTTCACAATGATAATGTTGTTACCAAGATTCATGAGGATACTTTCTACCAGTGGGTAAACCTTTTGACATTGATCATTCCCGGATTATCCGTACCCATTTAAAGCTGGGCCAACCGGAATAATGAGGATCTTGTCTACCAGCTGGTCATTGGTCAAACATAGATCCATACCCATTGGCCAGACCTGAAGGCAATCTTTACAACATTATCAGTACCCATATACAGCTGGGTTTGATTGGAATATTCAGGAAAGGTGACTTTTTAAAGGTCACCAGTCTTTAGTGCATGGATTGAGATAAGAACCCACAACCACCGTTTGTTCAACATAAGCCCTGCAAATGAGGTAAAGATTCTGACTGTCTGTGCTTCAACCCATCCTCAAATTAGGAACTGGTGCACGATAACTAAAGTTGTATCAACAGAAATTGAAAAGTGTTTTATGGAATACAGGTGATTCAACAGAACTGGGTGTTATTAAGATAAGAATCTTACCAAGATCTATCTATGATATTTGTGATTTTTCTGTTAAACACAAAGAGAGATAAAAAGACAAAAGATAGGATGATATACTTGTAGATCTATAAACTAACTAAATATATAGATAGTGATGGCACCAGCTTCCTGATAGACTAGAGAGTACAGATGCCTTTCCTATACCCCCCTGGTATCATCACTAATTATTGAAAATATCCTTTAATAATTTATCTGAGCACTTGTTTTATTGGTATACAGTCATCTACACATTTACTTTACCAACTGAATGAGCTCAATTCTAGCCATCTGTAACACTTCTTAAAAAGAAAATCAGACATCTAGTTTGTCCATGAAGGGATGAAACATATACTAGAAGAAGTAACAAAGCCATAAACTTCCATGATACATAATTTATTGCATTGATTTGCAGGATAAACCAGACGGCCAATTTTGAATTTGAACAAAAAGTTGGATTTTGACTCTGAAAAGTGTTCAGGATGGCTGAAATTGAGCTCTTATCTACTGATAAAGCAAATATTGAGACAACTATATTCTGTTGAAATGAAAATTATTTGAATGTAAACAATCTAAAACTTCGGCCACATATTAAGAAGATAAGAACCTAGGACATCCTAACGTTAAGACCATTTCCAGAATACAGGGCCTGATCTTTCATTGTTTCAACCATTCAAATAAATTTTCAAAATAAAGCAAACAAGGGTACTTAAATATATATAAAGCTCATGTAATAATAGTTTTAAATTATGGTATATAGATTATTATTTTTATAAGATAGTGGAAGAGTTTTTTTTTGTATTTGGTGATGGATAATAAATTTGTATCCATAATAAAATTGAAGAACACTGAATAGATATTTGTAGTTGTCAGAATATTTGCTTTTTAGCTCAAAGATATTTAATATAAATAGAAGTCTGGGATATCTGAGATATTATC